TTCATGGATTAAATATAATGTAAAATAATGGAACATGAGTTTGAAAATAAAGGCTTCTGCAGGTATTGATAATGGTGACTCTTAAAAAAGTACTGTTGAGCCGGGCGTTAGTGGTGCACACCTTTAATCCCAGCACTCAGGAGAGGCAGGTGAATCTCTGTGAGTTAGAGGTCAGCCTGGTCTACAGAGTAAGTTCTAGGACAGACTCCAAAGCAATACAAACTCAACAACAAAAAATGTTCTGTTGGATATAAAACAGTTGTAGAAATAGACAAAAATGACAAAAATACAGAATGATTGTGCCTCAGCTTCCTGCAAATATTTTAAACTTCTGCCTACAAAGAATTTAGAAAGCAACCCCCAACCCTACTCAAGTTCACACAGGCTAAAGTCTCTTGTGTAAAATGACAGAGTATTTGCATCTAACCTGTTTAACTTTCTCCTGTGTGTTTCAGTATCCAGATCACTTATACTAAATTCAATGTAAATTGTATATATGTATGTACATATAATAGATTTCTTTTTGGTGTTTTGAGACAGGGTTCCTCTTGTAGCTTTGGAGCCTGTCCTGGAACTCACTCTGTAGACTAGGCTGGTCTCAAACTCACAGAGATCCACCTGCCTCTTCCTCGTGAGTGCTGGGATTAAGGCATGCACAACCAATGCCCAGCTATGGGAATTGTTTGGAAAATATTGACATGGAAAATCCTTACATATTTAGTACAATTTAAACTAAAAGAATGTTTTCCATCTAACATTGCCTAAATGTGGTTACAAAAGCCACAGATGAAGGGCCAGATGTATATAATAAATGTTTACAAAGTGTGTTTGTCTCTTCTCTTTGGATGTTTTCTCTTTTCGTAACTGGGAAACTGTCCATTTTAATCTCTTTGAAAGTGGCTGTTTTCACTGTATATTATTGACTATATACTCTTAAGATATTCACACCAACACACTTGCTTTTTAAAGAACATTCAATTTCTTCATGCTATGGAACCAAGGTTCCTGGTTTCATTTCTGATGTAGTTTTGTGAAATTAACAACATATACAACTTACAGGTATGCAGTCATTGAGTGCAGAGTAGACTTCCTCACGTTCTACCTCCATCACTAAGGATCTGCTGCAGTAGACAATTCTCTAAGTGGCCTTCAGTGTTTGTCACAGGTCCTGAAAGGCTGACTGATTTGAGCTTTGCTATTACAGAGCTGGGTTCTCATTGTAGTTGAAAAAACTCAAACTCAGAAATGAAGAGTAGAATGTTGACTACTTAGGGCTGAGGCAGGAGAGAGTTAGCAAGATCTTGGTAAAAGGAAACAATTTCAGTTAGAAAGAATGTTCAAGAAATCTACTGTCCAACCTGGTGATGACCATAGTTAAAATCAGGGCATATCCTGGAAGATTACTAGCAATAGCTGGTAAGTCTCCTTACCACAAAAGGTGAGACATTAGCTCCATATAGCATGCACACTTCAAAGAATCATACAACACAAATATACATAAAATACTTGTCAGTTCATTTCTTGAATCTAAGAAAAAGAGAAGAAACAAATATGACTTCTTTCTAGTAACTTGCGATTGTAATGATAACTGTAGAAACAACCATTAGAATCCAGAGAGCACGGAAGGGACAGAAGCCAGCTGAAGGTTTGTTTGATCCCTCCAGTTGACACAACCAGGGTTACCTAGGCTGCAAAAGAGCATTGCACAAGTGGTGTATCCCCAGCTCTAAGAGTAGTTACTATGGCAAACAGAAGGTTGTGTTAGAGAGTAAATATGCAAAATGTACAGAGAGTGCTTTGCCTCACTCCTTCTGCTTTACCTACAGTAGGGGACCAACTATCACTTGCTTGCATATACATATATATATAAACACATGTGCACAGACACCCCTATCACACCCTTTCTCTTTCTCAAGTCTCTGTGTGTCTCTCCGTTTTGTGTCCTGATTTCTAATTCCCTCCCTGCCTCAGTGCCTAACCTTTATTATTTTTAAAATAAGAAACACAAACTATTGAAAGTGTATGCAGTTGGCTACATTATCCCAATTCACAGTTCTAAATCTTCTGCCTCAGGCTAAAACCACAGATTTCTTCTTCAGGACAAGAACTAAAACCCAGTTCAAGTCTGCCCCCTCTCCCCACTCCCAAAAATTGGGTATTTAGCCATTCCACTCCAACTGGATATTTTTACTCTTCCCTTGGTATTTTATTGAAGGGTTCCTTCCACAAGTAATATTAACAGAACAAAGAACAATGCTCACTATAAGAATATCATATACCAACTTAGTTGTTACATGAACATAATTAATTTACTGAAATTAACATTATGAACACATAATGAGAAGATGTTCCTCAAAAGAGGAAGATGAACGTTAACCAACAAGACAAAACTATCTTTGAAAGATAGCGATAACAGGAAGGGGTTCAGTTCGGCTTAAGGGCGAGTTGCAGTCAGAGTCCTATGTTTGTGTCTTCAAAGGCCCGAGGTTTTGGGTGAGGCAGCTCAGAAAGGTGTCCAGCCGATTCCTGGACCTATACGCAATCAGTCCTCCCTTGTTGGCCCAGAGATCCACCCCGGAAGCACCTTTGTTCTCCATGTGATACAGCAGCTGTGGCAAGTCCAGCCCTGATTCGGGACTTCTTGCCAAGCATTCTTTCATGTCTACAATGCCCCCGCCCATGGCCCTTAGAATGGCATGAGCAGCACAGGAGTCCCACTTGTATGTGGTGTCCTCTGAGAAGATGTAAATGTCAACCAGGCCTTGCACTACACAGAGGCTCTTGTAGCCAGCCCCAGCCGCAGAGAAGACACCACCTTCACATATTCGTGACATCGCGGCTTTGATGGTCTCTTTTTCACTTGTACTGATGACTGCAGAAAAAGGGCGGGAGAACTCCAGGTCCGAGTTTTCAGTGTGGGTTTCACTGTTGTTCCCTTTAGGGATGGAGAACTGCAGGGAATGGATGTTGGTCCCCATGTAAGAAAGGCCCCAGTAGTACTGTCCCTTCCACCTGCAGGAAACAGTTCAGTTGGTGATTATCATCTTTGTTTTATTTGTGCTGATTTCAAGTATAAGGATATGAAAAATGTACAATGCCTCAGATCAAAATGAGTTTTAATGTTCCTGAGCCTATAAATGAACAAACAACAAGCTACTAATTAATTCTCAGTGGCTGCAAGCATGCAGCTGCCTGTTATTGTGATGGAAGCACTGATAGTTTACTTCACTATCATACCTAACTGAGATAACACTAAAGCACTGATGGTATTTCTGACCTCTAAAAACAATGCCAAAGCTCAATCCTGCTTTTGTCATCCAAAGTCTCAAAGGGACCTGCAAAACCCCCACAGGCCTCCTGTCACTGACTTACTCCTTTGTATTTTGAGTCACTAGCTCCACTTTGGCTTCTAACACCAAGTAAGATGGACTTGTGTTATTTTTGGCAACAACAGTAATAACAACTTTGTTGATCCACTCATCCTCCTGTCAGGTACTCTATTTACAGATGAGAGGTGAGTCGTAGAGAAAGCAAGTAACTTGCTAAGGCTGCCTGGATCTTTAAGTGGTGGAACCTGCTTCAAATGCAGAAGTTCACCTCTGATCTATGACCTCCCCCCCCCCAAGCTGGCCTTGGCATCCTCTTGTGTCTCTGCAGTGGTGGGCTTACATGTTTTAATGACCTTTTACAACATTACCAAAACATATTTGGTTTGAAGGAAACTGAAGTAGAGGAAAATTCCAGAGGCTTAAACATTTAACTCAAGGAGCATATCTGAAGTACCGAATACAGGCAGTTCTATGCCCAAAACATATTTGGTTTGAAGGAAACTGAAGTAGAGGAAAATTCCAGAGACTTAAACATTTAACTCAAGGAGCAACGGGTTCATATCTGAAGTACCGAATATAGGCAGTTTTATGTCTGGGCTTACATGTTTTAATGACCTTTTACAACATTACCAAAACATATTTGGTTTGAAGGAAACTGAAGTAGAGGAAAATTCCAGAGGCTTAAACATTTAACTCAAGGAGCATATCTGAAGTACCGAATACAGGCAGTTCTATGCAATGGAAGCTGCAAGTTACTTCAATGAAAAGGAAAAGGGGCTGACTCTGCTCAAACCCCTCAGGCCTGGGTGTCAGCCTCCTAGCACAGAGCTCCCTGGCCACTTTCCAGGCTGTGATCATGGGTCAGCAGAAAGGAGTGGGAACAGCAGGAAGGCACCGATACTGGCAGCATTTGGCAGGAGTTAAGAGTCAACCCTGACCACATCTGTCAATCATTCCACTGAGTAGTTTACACATTGGTTCTGTATTTCTTCTACCGTAATACAGATAGTCGTCTGGCAATATAGTGGTGGCATCCACCCTGTTTCAGTGAATCAGAAGACAGTGTTGAGCACTGATCTATATGTGTGGTTTTGAGTGGATTTTAGAAACAGGTATAGGATTGATATATCTCAAATGCAAAGCCATGAATTCTCCAAGACAGTATTCATTTCTTTGAAAGTATCAATGTGCACTTAAACCCAAAGAAAACTGTGTCAAATCCATTAGTGAAGAGAGAATGCATTTCATTGCAGCCCTGTGGACCAACAACGGGAATTCCCCACAGAATCCAGTCACAGGAACACCATGTGGAGTGACAATCCTAACAAGCAAGGCTGAGGCTGGATGATCAAGACTGAAAATGTCCATCTTTTACCTTAGAGTAGTTAGGTTTTGAGACACAAAAGGCTGGTTGATGACTCCCATCAGGGGCATGCCTGTCTGTATGTCATAGACGCCAATTAAAATGGTCACACACTGAAGCCCATTGGGGAAAACTCCTTGGTTGGACTTCACGTTGGCAGAACCTTTAATATACTGATAGGTTGAATCTGAAAAATGAAACATATGTACAGGGACATATTGGTTAGAAGGTAGCAGTGAATGTATCTAGGATCTTTGTCCTGTGTAAGTTCCCCTTCTAATTTAGTCACCAATCAGATTTCACCTTTGGGTGAAATCAGTTGAACTCTCATGTATCATGCTTATATTTCATTCAGTGAATGAGAACTTTTTAAAAAAAATTGTTGTCTTGAGACAGGGTTTCTGTTAGCACAGGCGGGTCTCTAACTGGAGATCTCCCTGCCTCTGCCTTGTAAACATGAGAACTCTTGAAGGCATGGACTTGGTCACAGTCCTATGGAATCTAGCACAGCACCCTGCATACATAATAAAGCTTCAAAGGCAGTCAGGGCTGGGGAGGTGATGCACTGGCTAAATTACTCGCCTCAAAGGCATGAGGACTTGAGTTTGGATTCACAGCACCCTTGGAAGATGTCAGGCAAAGTGGATCACATTTAAATACCCCAGTGTCAGGGAGGCAGAGACAAGAGGATCACTGGGGGTTGCTGCACAACCAGTCTAACAGAATTGGTGAATTTCAGGTTAGGTGGAAAAGGAATGAGAAAGGCACGTGATAACTCTGGCCCTAGTGTGCATGTGAGCAAGAGCACATACACACACCCTTAAAATACACATGGCACACTAGGGCCAGAGTTGTCTGGCTCAGAATAATGTCTGCTACCAGTTATGTTCAACAGAATTTACCAGGCACATGGTAGAGACTTTAGTCTTAGGACTTTTTATTGACAGTGCTGTTGAGGAAAGGGCTACATTTTAAAGCATGCACTGCAATTAAAATTCTACCACAAAAAAGGACAAAAACTTGGTAAGCTCTATGTCAGCTTGCAAGTTGCCCAAGATATTCAGTTGCTTTGCTTGACCATGGTTGACTCTTGACTAAATAAATGAGTAGCCAATGATTTAAAGTTAGCAACTGTCCCTTAAAAACAGGTCTTGGTTTGGTGTTTTAAAATCTGAAGATCTAGTCTGTACTCACAGATGGCAAGAGTCTGTTAGAGCTGAGCTCTCTATGTGGTGTGCATCGCTGTCATTTCAAGACTAATTAGTTCTAAAGGGACAAGCTCCCCATTTCGGCAGCCATAACAGTCTAACACGTGCTTCCCTGACCTTGCCTTGGTCACTAGGAGGTCAGATGCCTGCCTCGTGGCAAGGAACCAATCAGAAGTTAGCTGGTGGGGCTACGCTTTACGGCTCTGGGTGTGCTTTACAGACAAGTGCACAGCAATGGCATGCAGAGCATAGCAACCACCCTGGGAAGTCCTATAGGCCATAACAACCAATTGACCAATCAACACAGGGCAAGTCCTCCAAGCCTGGAGGCACACTAATCCTGAGACTGTGCGTACCCCTAGACACTCCCCTTATTCTGTCCTATAAGATCTTTGTCCCAAGGTTTCTTGGGGTCTCTTTCCCCAGCCATCCGCCATGGTGGGTGGATGAAAGGCCAGACATGGGGTTAGTTCGTTAAACAACTACAATAAAGCCTCGTGCTGTTTGCATCAAGTTTTCACCTCTGCCTGGTGATTGGGGTCGCTGTGGTCCTGGGCTGAGATCCTGGGGGCCTGAGCCTCCAGAGGTCTTTCACCCCAACAAGCCATGTTTGGAGACCTGTATTCAATAAGCCAATTAAAATAGCCAAATTAATAGTTAAAAAGCAGAATGCAATCTACTCAATGTATCATCTGTAACTCCAGTTCCAGAGTGTATCTGATGCCCTCTCTGGCCTCCAAAGGCTCTGCACACACATAGTATATGGGGGTATGTGCATCCATATACATAAAATAAAGACAAATAATAAAAAATAACTTCTTTGGACACGACATGACTATTGTACTCAAACTCCCAGTAGCAGTGGTTCCTCTATAAGACCTTCATGAAATCAAGGTAGCCAGACTTCCAGCACACACTGGGGATGCTTCTGAGGAGTGACTGGGGGAGGGATACAACTCTTTGTGTATGGGTGTAGGCTCCCATGTTCCAGTCCATGCTCCAGCACCTGACTGGGCAACACTAATTGGACTTAATGAGTTTTAAAAAAAAAGAAGACATGAAATTAGGAGAGGAGCACATTTGGGAGCTCTGGGAGGAGTTGGGGGGTATGATCATATTCCATTGTACACATATATGGAATTCTCTAATAATAATAATAATAATAATAATAATAATAATAATAAACATTCCAGGAGATCTAGACTACTGTTCTAATCATTTCTATTTCTTGCCCTGACCCTTCAAAAACACTGAGTAAGAACAAAGGAGGATGTACACCCAGAGCAGTCCCACACTCACCGATGGGATCCACCCAAATTCCCAGAATGTCCTGCGGGATGCTGATCTCCAGGGCCTCCAGAGAGGGGTCAGTTAGGTCCACATCCTGGTGCACCACCTTAGCCAATGCTTCGGATGCCAGCATGTTGCCATTAAGGACTCTGCTGAGCAGTTCTGCTGTTTCCTCCTCCGTGGACTGCAGTTCTACAGTGATCTTTTCTCCTAGAAAGAGAAATTGGAGCCCCTGATTCTTGAAAGTTCAGGGGAGAACTGACAGTAGGGGGTAGAGGAGCAGGGAGGGGGCATGGGCAGCTGAGCCGAGCTTTTAGGTTAGGTGGATGTCCACAGTAGTGGTTCCAAAACCCTGCTGACTGCCAGGTCACCTGCAGCACTTTACAAAGAGTGGGTGCAGTGGCTCCGTGCCTTCCTCCACTCAGTGGAGAGCTTAGGTTCCAGAAAAATGTCTACAAGGGCAAAGTTTTGCATTCAAGAAGCTCCATATATATTGAAATCCTTCAGCCTTCAATAAATATTCTGTTACTTAATTTTGCCTTTTGACTTTTCATGTGCATAGGGTTGCTCTGTCCATGTCTGAACATTACTGAAAAAGACATAGGTTTTACCCACATGGAGAAATGCTTCTACTTCCTTCTGTAATACTGCTTTTACTAAAAAATATTGTTTATGCTCAACAGTATCAGATGAAACATAGTAATCTTTGAATGCAATATAACTTAGTAGCTCAAAATGACAGACAAAAACTTTCCTCTGTGATAGCCAGTGGGAGCCGGATGTGAGCAACCCACCTCTGCAGTAGAAGCAGAGTGAAGAAGACAGCTGCATTCCCATCTCAGGCCCCTGGGTGGGCAGCCAGCATCCAAAGAAGAGAAAGAAGGGGCTGGGAAGGAGGCAGAGTCAGCCAGGGGCACATACCACTTGGGAGATGGATGCCAGAAAATTAGGACTTTAAGTCCAGCCTGGGCTTACATATCAAGTGGCAGGCCAGGGTGGGCCACATGAACCTGTCTCCACAGTAGCAAAGGCACCACAGACGAACAGTAAAGAGTGACAGTTAAGGTGAGTGTGAGATACCTTATAATCCCAACACTCAGGAGGAAGCTTGAGTTCAAGGCCAGCCTGAGCTATTTATTGAGATCTTTTTAAAGAAAAAATTAGGTATACAGATCCATGTTTCTACCCACTTGAGCAGTTCCAACCAGTAGAAGCTGGGAGCTTGTTGGAAACACTTCAAGCACCACCTGGATATAACTGAATTTTCAGAAAAGCCTCAGGTCATGCATGATAGGATGAGCACAGCTCAAGGCCCAGTGGGAATCTATCATAGCAAGAACTCTGACTTTTTGCTTGTGTTTTGGTGCTGGGGATTCAGCCCCGGGTCTCCGGGAATGCCGAGCAGGTATTCCATGGTAGAGCTGCATCTGCAGCCCACAGCAGTGATTCTGAGCCACCAAGTCACAGTCACTGAAATATGCATGCTACTTCCAGCTTACTAAAAACCAAGAACCATTCAAATGAGTAAGTCACGTGACCCCTGTGTGTAAGCTAGCCCAATAGTCTACATCACACTTAGAGGGAGGTCCAAATTCCTGCTGTGACCCTGCCCCAGTGGAGTCCCAATTGGTACTGCAGCCTCACTCCTGTCCTCCTGTTTCTCTGTCCTTTTGTAGACAGGAAAATAAATGTGGGACACTTTTTACCTCTTTAATTCTAGACAAATGAAGCTTTAAATTAACTGTTTATGAAATAGTCAAATGTAGGATTGTAAATTAAGAGTGTATCGTGGTGAGTTAATCATAATAGTTATTTTAACTTTCAGTAGTTTAAATAAGATTTCTGTCTTCTCTCTGGGAGTCATAGAAATTTATAAAAACTTTTATATACATAGAAATGTATATTTAAAAAAGCTAGGGGAATGGTTTATGCCTGTAGTCTCAGCTATTCTGGGAGTTGAGGTGAGAAGAAGGCTTGTGTCAAGAGTTTGAGACCAGCCTATACAACACAGCAAGGTCCCACCTCAAACAGAACAACAAAATAAAATTAAAAACTTGGTACAACATGGAAACTGCTAGTTAATCCAACTGCCTTTACAGAGGTTCTGAGATGAAATGCAGAGGGGACTGGAGTAACATCATGCTTTCTTTCAGAACTGAGGTGATGGGGAATGTACTGTGTATGTTTATCTTATTGATTGTTAAATAAAATACTGTTTGGCCAATGAGACAGCAAGTTAGACGGGACTAGGAGACAAAGAGGATTCTGGGAAATGTAGTAGAGAAGTGGTGATCCAGGCAGGAAGTGACATAGCAAAGAGACTCATATTTAAGCAAAGGAGAAACAGGAAGCATCCCTTTTTTCCCCTCTGCTCCTGCTCCAGTGGCACAATGTGATCCACCAGATGAGAATCCTAGTCATTGGCCAAGCAGATTTAAACCTAATACATGTTTCTGTGTATTCATTTGGGCTTAACTCAGGCAGGTGGCTGGCGTAAAGCTCACAAATGGCAGTGGGGCTCAAGTGGCTTTTGACGGAAAGATTTATCGTAACACTGAGGTATCTGATATACTCTTAGCCAAGAGCTCTAGAGTTCAGCATGTCCATAGATGGGCTTAAATCCCTGCCCAGACATGGTCTGCTTAGCTATGTAGATGAACATCTTTCTGGGGCAGGACCACATTAGATTGTCGAAAGGCTGTAGAAATTTCCCAAAGGCTAGGCCACAATCATTAAAATCCTAAAGATTTCAATTTAGAATGATGCATGGACTGCTTAAATATTCCAAGAAACCACCTCACCTCTCTAACTTAAATGTCATCATATTCTGAGGTAGAGAGCCTAAAGCAAGCATCACAATTAAGTGTGTTCTTCTGTTTATACTAACAGCTTCCTAGGATTCATTTATGTTCTGAGTTAGGAATTAGAATATTATGATAAGTTACAAAACACATTAAGATTCTTATACTTACCCAAATCATTTGTAAACTCATTGGATTCTTCTCCCAAAATTTTTTTCCCCAAGCCTGGAAACTGAATGAGTCACAGTTTGAAAAACAAACAAACAAACAAACAAACCCCACCCCGCAATCAGTTCTGAAGAGAGTTCCATGAGTATAAGTTAGATTCAAAACTCAAAAAACGTTCATAGTAGGAGTCAGCTTGAGCATAGAAAATGAAGTCAGCTTGCTTCTGTTCTTAGCTTTCTAATATTTTCCTTTTCCTTTGCCAGTCTAGAAAGCCTAATTCCATGGCTAATATCATGGAATCTTTCATGTCAGCTTTCTGCAGGAGAGCCACAGGATGGGAAAGCCACAGGATGGGAGAGCTACAAGACTGGCAACATATATTTGCTCCTACACAGCAGCCTGTGAAAGTTCACTGGTGTTATTAGCTATGTTCCAAAAATAATTTCATTTGTCTGGTCCACACACCAGGAGAGGGCATCAGATACTATGGTAAACAGTTGTGAGCAGCCAGCTCAGGTCCTCTGAAGAACAACAGCCAGTGCTCTTAACCACTGAGCCATCTCTCCAGTCCCTAGGTGGAAAAAGAGACTAGAAGGAAATCTTAGATTTTTATTTCCATTTTCAGGTACATCTCTGTACCTGTGAGGTGTGTCATTAGCTTTCAGACTAGCACACACACACACACACACACACACAGAGAGAGAGAGAGAGAGAGAGAGAGAGAGAGAGAGAGAGAGAGAGAGAGAGAAATACTATAGTGACCTATTTGTCACACCACACCTGTACTTAATTGAGTTCACACAGAATGACATGTGGTCATTCAGGACCTCTCGGTAAGTAGGCACTTCCATACAGGCCTGCCTTAAATTTGACACCATCCATCATAAGCCCTTCCCTGGACCAAGCAGAACCTAAACTCGACATGGATAAGAGTTGCATTGGGTTCTAGGAAGAACACTGTTCTCTGAAGTCTTGGCAAGGCTGGAGCTTTGTGAGGGACAAACAAAAAAGGTCTTTGTGAAGACCCAAACTGGACAAAGTGCAAGTCTGATGTGAACAGGGTCTCCTTGGTTTGCTGGCCTTGGGTGGAACTGGAGGTACCTCAGCAAAGGGGTTGTAAAGAGAATTCCTGGGGAACAACCCGGAAGCCCAGAAGTCCTACTTGATGCTGATGGGCAGGAAGCCTCAGGTTGTAGCTCTTCGGTTAACACCTAAAGTCCTAAAGACGGATTTGAGATTATTTTTGCTTTGTTTTGTTTTCTGAGACAGGGTTTCTTGGTGTAACAGTCCTGGCTGTCCTGGAACTTGCTTTGTAGACCAGGCGGGCCTTGAACTCACAGAGATCCCCCTGCCTCTGCCTCTGCCTCCCAAGTGCTGGGTATTAAAGGTGTTTGCCGCCACGCCTGGTTGACTTATTTTTAAAAGGTATGCAGTATTTCATCACAGATAGTAAAGACTTCATGTAATGGGATAGTAAGAACATGAGGAATGTCACTGTAGTCATGAGACTGCCCCCACCACATACTGCCCTGTCAAGTATCACCTAAAGTAATACTTGTATGGAGATCCACGGGTAGACATTCCCAAAAGGTCAGGGCTATGCACATCTCCCTCTGACCACCTCCAGCTTCTTCCAAGTATAACCTGTCAATGCCATTAGTCATAACATCTTTTGATTTGAGGATTTAGAGCAAGAACTTCGTGCAACATATTTTCTGCTCTGATATCTTAAAAGGTAAGCTACCCATTCATAACTTGACCAGTCATGGTACTTACCACAGAGTCCCAGATGGAGGCAGCTGCCAACACAAACAGGTGACAGTTTATGTCCCATTACCCTCCACTGTTGAGAACAACGTGAGCCTGTCCCCATGACCAGTGTGCAATATATCATGTCCCTTCTGATTGTGACTGCACAGCCTGAATTAACCTCCCTGTGATTTTGAGGTGATAGGCCTGAGTTTCATTATAGATACAGACTTCCATGCTCTCCTCTGCTGAGGCAGAGGGATTCACTTGGAAGGGTGTTATAATTACTATGCAGATTGCTTTCCTATCATTTGATTGAACCTTCAGGAAGAAAGAAGGCCATTAAAGTAACTTCTTCCTCAGTTTCTCATTTTAGGAAATCTGGAAGCAGAGCCATACATAATTCAGCCCAGTGAACCTCTCCCAAGAGAAAGTATACATAACACCCAGGGGCTGTGAAAAGGATGGTAACCACCAAGCTAGAGGGACTCTCAAAGGACATTTTCTCTTAGAAATAAGTTTGCCATGTAGCTCTGGATTCCTAGCTGCCACTCAAGGTCTGTGTTTCCGAATCTAGTTTTGGTGACTTTGCTTGCTCTCTCACCCACCCAAGGCTGTAGAATGAGTAAGTCTTTCTCCAGCTGGGGCTGTGGGTGGGCATGGGAGGGTGATGTCATGCACCACTCTAGAGCTTTCTTCAGAAAGAGAGCTCCAAGATACATATTACCCAATGCACTGCCCATGCAACTGTTCCTCTCATCCACCTGTGGTGATATTTTGTTTATGCTCTAACAAATTAAGCTTGCCTGAAGATCAAAGTGCAAAGTTAGCCACCGAGGCCAGGCATTGGTAGCCACACATTTAATCCCAGCAGTCACACTAGTTAGCTAGCGAAGCTGGGTGGTGGTGGTGTACACCTTTAATCCCAGCGCTAGAGAAGAACATCAGGTGGGTGGAGACCGGAGCGCAGTGTATTCAGTCTTCAGTCACGCTGAGGACAGGATCGCCCCAGCCTTGGGAGAGGTGAGAACTCTCCAGTGGCTGACCGCTTTGCTGTTTTCCATCTTCAGCTTTAGCCCCAATATCTGTCTCTGGGTTTTTATTATTTGTGCTACACCCACCCATTCAACATCAGCCACCATCAGTAAAGCAAATAGATGTGTTGACGGCAAGAGGCCTGACAGGTCAAAATCCTCTGGGCTTTTGGCTTCTAGTGAGGAAACAGAAGTAGACAAAACTCTGTGATTTCATTTATTCCTCTTGCTCAGTCAACACACCAAGTGGTGTGTGCAGAAGCTACGGAAGAAGCAACGTAGTGTGAAATCAGAACGAAGCTAAACATTCAGCAAGAACAAACTGAGTAAGTTGGAGGACATGGCTGTGACTGGATTTCTCATAATTACCGAATAAAGAAAAATAGCCCCATCAGGGCCTAGTGCTTCACACCTTTCCAGTACTTGGGAGGCAGAGGCAGGAGAATCTCTGTGAGTTCAAGGCCAGACAGGTCTACAGAGTGAGTTCCAAGACAGCCA